GGCACCCAGCGAGCGCTCGCCACTGGCGGTGCTGCCGGGAGCCCGGCTGCTGGGGAGGGGCTTCCTCCGTCCCTCTGCCCCAGAGCTCCTCCCGCACGCCCCGGGCACTCCGTGTCCTGCTTCTGCGAGGCCCCGCATGCTGCCTAATTTTCTAAGAAAAAACAGAAAGAAGAAAAACACGGCCGCGGGGAGGCTCCCGGTCCTTCCCCCTCCCCGGCGGGCGGAGGACGAGCAGCAAACGGTTCTCCGGTGCTCCAGGGAAAAAAAAAATAATAATTTCGTCGTTTCCCCCCTCCATTTATTTTTGAATTGGTGTTGTTTAGAGAAGTGAGAACGCTCCGCTTCCCTTCGCGGCTTGCTCGCTGCCCTGCAAGCCACTGCCTTGATCTCCATCTTATACTTGTCTTATTCATGACGGTACTGATTTTATTCGTTATCGCACAGTCCTGGAGAGATTTGCATTTTAGTGATACCTTAAGATTCTTTTATGTAGCGCTCCGAAATACTGAACACCTTGGCCATCCCGTTTACAAATTTAGTTCATCTTTAAATCTTCTCCCCTCATCACCCCGCTCAACTTAGAAAGTCTTAAAATATTTAACACCGATCGAGATTACAATTTGGGAACTACTACAAATACTCTGTATAGACGTATTTACGGAAAGCTATTCATGTGAGAAACCAATTGGTAGTCGTTTAGCTACTGCGTAGTTTTACGTGCATTCAGAATATCTGGGCAACGAGCTCTGTATTTTTAAGACAGCTTTCCAGGTCTCTAAACCAGATGTTTGGAAACAAAAACAAATGACCGAGCTTGGTTATAAATCTGAATCTCTTCACACGCCTTGCCTCTGTTTTTCCTACGCGATTTCCGTCATCTACCCAATGTTCGTACCTCTTATGTGCGATGAAATACCTGTTATGATTCAACAGCAAAATATCAAAGAGGTTGGCTTAAAGAAAAACAACCCTTGTGTTCAACAATTAAACGATCCTGTACGCGGCACTACTCAGTGTTGGGCGGTGTTATTTATTTCGACTTTGTCACTTACATTTTTTGTGTCTGTGCATGAATGCGTATATATACACACAACACGTTCACGCGGGTCGAATACACAGGGCGTATACGCAGATGTGTATTATTCACGCACATACATACTCGAGTTAAAAACATCCACGAAATTCGTTAATTTCCTTATTTAAAACAACGGTTACAGAGCAACAGGAAAGTTCAGCTGCACTTCGTACCTTCGCACGACTTTACGATCCTGTTAAGAGCGGAAGATTTTTTTTTTCTTTTCCTGCTAAAAAACCGATGGCAAGCAAACACTGCAGAATAAGGCACGACGGGCGCATACTATGCCTGAAGGCTGCTTTTTTCCCGCTTGCCGCAGACACGTTGGCATTTTTGTTGCCCGTGCTTAGGAGGACACTTCGCTCAGGGCACGGACCGCGAGGCCAGAAGAGGGGCTCCGATGCCCCGTCGTTTCGCCCCTAGTTTACCGAGGAACGGCTTTCTGCCGCTCATTTCTTTAAAATAGAAGGGGGAGGGGAGAAAATCACCCTCCCCTCAAAAAAAAAGGTTATTTCTTAGCTCTTTGGGGGCCAAATCGAGAGCGACCCCCGCCTCCGGAGGGCGTTTGGTTTGGCGGCCGGCCGGAGACGTGTCAGCAAGTCGGTCTGGGGCGGGAGCAGGGCGGGTGGGACGAACGTGTTTTTCTTTTTCTCCCCCGACACACCCCGGCTCGCATGCAGGCAGGAGCCCAGCTCAGCCTTGC